TTGAGAAGATTTTCCTGGGTTAAAAAGTAGTCTTATACGCCAGAAAATACAGTACAAAAAAGGTTGTTACAAGGAGGAGGGAGAAAAATTGTTCTTAACCAGTGAGGATAGGACAAGAAGCAATGAGCTTAAATTGCAGGTTGGACATTAGGAAAAACTTCTTAACTGTCAGGGTGGCTGAGCACTGGAATAAATAGCCTAGGGAAATTGTGGAATCTCTGTCATTGGAGATTTTTAAGAACAGGTTAGACAAACACCCGTCAGGAATGGTCTAGATAATACTTAGTCCTGCCATGAGTGCAAGGGACTGGACTAGATGACCTCTTGAGGTCCCTTCCAGTCCTATGATTATACAAATTAAAGTCACATTAGCATTTTAAAACTTTTATACAGGGAAGAGTGTTACTGTATAGGTAGATATAGCAAGATCAAATAAAGTTTCAGTTTTAATATCCAGTGCAACCTTATAACTTATACTTGTGGGGAAATGATTGTGGACTGTGAGCCTTGTCACAGGTGGAAAAATATTATCCTTTATAAAAGAATCTATTTATGCATGGCTTAAGATGCTAATGAGATTTCTTTGGCCAACATGGTTTCCCTTCTTTAAGATACCAGAATTCTATGTTTGTTTAGAATAAACTATCTTCTCCTATGCAGAATCTATAAAAGCAAAAACTTAGAAGCTCAAGCGCTTTAGAACTCTCTCTGAAACATAAAACAAAATACATCTATTAATGGATTTTAACTAGACATTTACCTATAGCTAATCTTTAAATAATAGCAATTCACTGATAAAGATAGATGATCCTAGCTGGAAAAACAGTTTTCTTAACATATGTATTCCTTGAGTATTTTAGACCATCACATCTGTTGTTTAGTGATCAGGGCTGTGAGTTGGTCATAATTTATTGGGAAATATCATGGCGAAAGAGTTGAGACATGGAAATGATGTGGAGTTAAAAACCATCAGCACTCATACTTTTTATGTTATATCCAACGTAGCTTTTCAATCCACCTCCCTGTCAACTTTATTGCATAGGCAGTGAGAACTTTCTGACATCAAAATTGTTATAGAGCAGCTACTTTTCATGATTCTCCTAGCATATATATGGCATTATTGTGATGAATGTGACTGAAATATCTACAAATACAAGAAACAAATATATACATTTAAAAAACTTAGAGAAATAGGTGATCTTATAGACCTTCGGGGAATTATAGTTCTCACTAGTCTAGTATATTGTACCACCACTGTGTAGTCATTGATCTCCTGGTTCCCATGCAGTCCATGGTTGAACTCTGCAGCTCTCCATTATTACCTCTCAGTATTCATCCACTTACCATACTATTCACCCCCATAGCATTCAAAAGAGTCTTAAGAAGTTAAAAGTTGGGTATTTTTGTTGGGGAAAAAACTGATCATGGAAACCATGATTCCAATGAAAGTCAAAATAAAGGTCCAACCTCCCAAGGAGCCGATATGCATTGAAGTTAGCCCTACTGTAAATACACTTTCCATGAGAGGAAATATTCAGTTGAATTAAAGTAGGAGGTAGAAGAAGCAAGTATAGATTTGGGGAGAGATGTGGGGCAATAAGACTAAGGAGAACATTATTAAATTGAGTGGCCATATTAGCAACCATTGGCTACAGCAAAACTAGGATCACATTCATCATTCAGATCACAGTCTGGTCCTCTTTTAAACAAAGAGAAATTTACCAGAATGATATACATTAACGTAAGACAAAGCACCTTGACCGTAGACTAGACAAAACTGATAGGCCAGAGATAACACACACATCCCATGCAGACCTAAAATGTACAGGGTAACATTGCAAAAATAATTGTGTAACTGAACTATTAAGGACAGTTGAACCGATTTTAATTATGAAATTATTATGCTGCCCAGCTGTCATTGGAAGAGACAGGAATAAAGAAAGGCCTATGAGAGACAAACTTGTATATTTCACAAGACGAGAAATATATACTTACTACAAATCTGCTATTCACTTTTTCTAAAATTCTTTTTTCATTTAATGCCATTGATTCTCCTTTTCTCTTCTTGATTCTCTTTTTTTCTAGCTTTTTACAAGCATACATTTTTCCTGTTGCCCGCACTTGGCAAGCGCATACCTAATGGAAAGAGAAAAGATATGTCAGATGTACCAGGTTTTACACTGGAACAAAAACAGTTCTCTCTTTTCTAACCCCCTTGAGAGCCCTGAAGACAAGTAAAATACAGGAGAACCAATTTAACTGTTTCATGGGTGGACACACTGGGTTGTTTGGTTTTGAGGGGGTTTTTTTGTAACAACAGTGGGAAAGAATTGTTACACGAACCAACTGTCTTGTTAGATGCAAATGTTTAAAAGTAAAAATGCTGCTTTTTCAATTTGGTAAATTGGTGAATTACAATTGATCTAATCAAATCTGTTATTTATTCAAGGAACGAAGAGTGTAAGTTACCTTTTCCCCACGTTCCCTTCAAGGAGTTGCAAACATAAGTAGAGTTCTCACAGTACTCACCTCTCCAAATCCTCCTTTGCCCAGTACTCGGTAATATCTAAATGTGTTCTTGGTTACTGGTTGCCTAACAGACAGAATGGAATAATTACTGGTCTCATTTCCAATTATATTTTTTTGTTTTTCTTTCAGAGCCCTGTTTGTTTCTGTTTCTTCCCTCTTTTCCTATATAACTTCCATGACCACCAGACTACAAAATGCCTTTCCTTCACTTGAGTGGATGAAAGGATTAGAATATAAACTGAATACCAAAGAAAAGATGCTTTTGCTCATGGACATGGCTCCCCCTTGTGGGCAGCAAGCAGTCGCTACAAGCAGAATGAACAAAAATTTAGGGTCTATGTCACCGCCACGCATGTTGGTTGTTCTTCTCATGCATGGTTTGTGAGGAGACTGTTTCAAGCTGGGATTTTCAAGTGTTCACCACTGATTCAATACCACCTTGCTTGTTCTATGTTTCAGAGGTATTTGGTCTAGACAGGTCTGAATAAAAGTTTCCTAATTTTCCTCCTGCATCTACCTCTAGCTTGCTTAAACAAAGATTTTTCCAGTAATAGAAGCCTACAGTGAAAATCATGGTTAGGCACCTAGGAGCCTAAAGGAGTAGGCTTGATTGTCAAGAGTACTGAACATCCAGCAGGGGCCACTGACCTCTATGGAGCTTCTAGGTGACAGCTCTTCTGAAAAGATCAGGTCACTTATTTAATGGCTTAAAATATGGATTTAGGACCCTAAACATAGGCCCCTATTTTAAAAATCTTGGTCTCTATGGTTGGGCAAGTCACTTAACCAGTGACTCAGTTAACCCACCTGTAAAATCAGTTAATTACCTTACCATACAGTGGGCTGTAATGATTAATATAATTGTCTTATAATAGCACCCAAGGCCCCAATCAAGCTCAGCACCCCATTGGGGGCTATGCACTATACAAGCACAAAGAAAGATTTTTAAAAGTTTAGAGTGGTTAAATGTAAAATGCTTTGAGGTCATTAAACAAATGCTTTCATTATTAATACATGTCTACCACAGCTCCATTTGTTTGTCATCTCATCAGCCCATTACATCTTGTCTTTTAGACTGTACGTTCTTTGAGGCAGGGAATGTCATTTACTATATTTGTACAATGGGGCCCCAAGTTGGCAGGCTTTTATATACTAATGCAGTAAGTGTTAAATATAAAAATACCTTACCTTTCCAACCATTTCCACTGTAAAAAACGGGAGAAATAGATGCTTTGTTGGTAAGCCTCAAAAGGTGCTCCACTTAAATAATCCTGGACAATCCTGCAAAAACAATCCACGTTTATGTTGGCAGACTGGTGCTATCAGGGATGAGATGCTAACCACTTCATTAGACACCAATTTAGATGTATCAATTAATTTGTCGGGAGATGGAGTGAACATATTACTGCACTACACTACACAATGAGTTTACTGTGCCTGCCTCAGAGAGAGTGAGCAGCTAGTGCAATTCCGTTGAGAACTGCACGTGTAGGGTCACTAATGAGTGCATAAGTAACAGATCTTGCTTATTTTAGCAAGTTGGAAGCTTTAAAATAATTCTTGAGGAATTAGAGATCAAAATGACTGATCCACCAACAGAGCTAATTTTAAGGTGGCATGGGAGGTGAGACATCCCCCTATAAGCATGGCCTGTTTGGGGATTGCATGTAGAGGCCTGCACTCCTTTCCCCTTTCGATCATAAGGGGATCCAATTTTGGGACAAGAGGTGAGGGTATCAGATATGGAGACAAAAACAGAAGCACTTCTCAGCAGCTTTCCAAGGCCAGCCTGATCAGAGGATGTGGCTCACCTTGAGAGCTGGTATCACTGTCCCATCATGAGTATAGATGCAGCCATTTAAAAAGATATCTGTACATCAACAGATAAGATTGCAATTTAACTAGATCAAAAATCCTTGAAGTGCTCCCACTGTGCTTTTATTTTTTACCCCCAAGCATTCCTTTCCCAGAAAGTCTCCATCACCTATGCCTTTCCCAGAGATAGCATCAACATAAAGTTACTTTGGCTGCAGTTTCTAACCTCTGCCCATAATTGCTTTTAGAAGCATCACTGAACAGTGCAATCTCCAGCTTCCCACCTCCTCCTAAGATCTTGGTATCTGTGTAGTCAGGGGAATGAGTTATCAGACCCAACTCAGCAGGATATTATGCATCAGTTATTGTTTTACAACTGGAATAATTGATTGTTACAGTTTCACTTACACGAAAACATCTCAACCAACTGGGACACAGTCTATCAGGTTACATTACAACTGCCAAAAAACTTCATAGCAAAGTTAGACCTCTGAAAACTCACAAGACAATTGGCAAACACATTTTAAATCAGAGTTATAAGCAGCACAGTTAACAAGGCCTTTGAATTCCCAGATGCAGATCAATAATACAAACAGAACAAAAGTATTTTGTGCCTTGAGATGAAAAAACTTTTTAAAGCAGACTCTGGTTTGACACAGTTAACCTGTTCAAAACAAGTACACTTAAAGGACTAATTGTTAATAGTTTAAACATGGATTTAAGGCAAAATTCTCCTTTTAAGATCAGTTTGGCACATTACAGAGATAAATTGTCTTTAAAATGTGATTGAGTACTCAATGATTTTTCCTAAATTCTTTTCAAGAATAATCCAGCTAGGCAGTGGGTGTGTTGAGACTGTTACTTATTAATACTAGACAATCATTTCAGATGGGTTTTATTAAAACTGTTAAAGTGATTTTGGAATACAAGTTCCATTGCTAAGGTGACAGGGTTGCAATGCACAATTTTGCATCCACATCTTTCATTTACAGAATGCATGTAATCGTGCCCACCGAAATAAATGCCTCATTTGGCGGGGGGAAAATAAAAACCTCTCTGTGTCTATGCAGAGCAGACAGGGCTTCAGTTTTTAAAGACCAGTACGAAGTAATTGCCTACCATACAAATTATCTGCCTCAGAAGAATATAGAGCTGAGCAGACCCTTCTCTCGGATTTGAACTTGTATCATTAAAACCACCCTTCCAAACCTTATGGTTAGGCCTGTACACCACTTCCCTCAAACTAAGCAACAAAATGCAAGACAAGATAAAAGATGGGAAAGCCTCATCTTGCTGAACACAGACATTCACTGGAAGTCCAAAAAAAGAGGAGGTTATCTGTTTAACTTCTTAGTAGTGTGTATTCTGTGCATCTTTTTTTATCTCATATTCTCAAATTATGCATAGTATTTAGTTTTCAGTTGCTGGGGAGGTGACCCAAGCTGTGACTCAAATGTTGTAAGCTTTTCAGCCGACATGATTAAGCATGCCTAGAAGAACCAGTAATATTAGAAGTGTAAGGGCTCTAAAAGACTGAACATTTGTAAATATGTACTATCCTTTCAAGAAGAGTCCTTTGCCTGGTGTAGGTATCTGAAATGCCACTGTATTACTTGAGAACAAAACAAGTTGTGCTAAATAGTCAGTAATGTTAATCATGATCACTCATTTAAAACTGATTTTCATACACAATATTGAAATACTGTTGTTGGCCACAGTCACATGGATTTTAAATCAGTATCCCTTTGTTTATCCCTGGACACTGCCAACTTGAAGTCTAGACAGTTTCCAAAAAATTACTTGATAGAAGTTTTGGGTATAACACAAGTCTTGATTTATGATTTTACACTTTCCTTTTTTAAAAAAAGGAAAAAATAGTTTCTCTCCTTTACTGAAGTAAAAAAATAGTCTCCTACAAACGAGAGGGGGAAAACAATGAAACTATACATAAAGTAAAACTGGAATAAAGAGAAATATTTCTCTAATCTATTTCAGCTAGAAAAATCTTAGTTCTTACCATTAATAATGGATAAAAAAATTCAGGAAGTAGTGTGATTTTTTTCTTAATTTTATGTTTTTAAATGCAGTAAATCAGAATATTTCCCTATCAACTTGATTGGTTCACAAGAACAAAAGAATTAAGAGAAATGGAAAGGCAGGTTAACAAAACCATGCAGGCAGACTCTGCTGCCCATGAACAGCTCTAAAGACTTCAGTTGGACATTGTGCAATCAGAATGCTCTGCCTCCATAGATCACTTTGAAGAACAGGAGCCTTTATCCCTTCCCACAAATATATGGGATTCATACAGCTAAATTCCAGAAAGTTAGTTATTCATCCCCTGAAGTTCAAAGAAATTTGTCCTAAACCACATTTAAATGTTTAGGGTTTTTTAATTTTAAATGATGAGCACTCCATCCTCTCCAAACTCCCCTTCCACCAACAACTCAGATCCCCAGTCACGATGCACAGTGAGGAGGCCTTCAATCCTCATCAACTGTGTCTGCAAAAGGAACATTTGCCTAGGTGAAGGTCTTCTAGCTTCCACCAGCCAATTTATTCTGATATACTGCTTTGTTTCAGTAGAGGTGTAAGTTGCCACCATCTCTCAGAACCAACCACTAGTGGGTTCTTAAGAAGCAATAGTTTTTACTTTCCTTGAAGTGACAATCTCAGCTTCCAGAATCATACCTTGTCCTATTTGTCTGCTATCTTGAGATTGGAGCACTTCAAGGACAACATAATGCCTCTTGAGCTAGCAATGTAATTAGTGTTGCCATCTGTCCTGAAAATTGTATGACCGTCCTGCTGTGTAAGCATTGGGCCTGCAATACTTTTATAAACAGGCTGCTCCAATAAAAGGATTTCCTAGCACAGTCTCAAAACAAGACAAGGAAACTTTCCTCAACACATCTCTGTACATCTAAAATCCTGACTTGTAAGAGGAAGAGGAAAAATATACTGTTCTCCCATATTCAGTTTTTTGAACTTGTGAAAATACTTGCCTGGTAGTGTGTAGTGTGCTATCTATTAAGTCAGTATGGAGGCTCCAAAAAAACTAATTTAAAATGACAGAGGGGATTTAACTGTTTTTAAGTGCAAATTTCATCAATTTTAAAAGTAGAATAATTACTGAATCCTCTATAAATACTAAAAGGGGTCTGCAAACAATAACAGTTGCAGAACTTCCAGAAACCAAAAAACCTAGTTTTAGCTCGATAAACATGTTTTTGGTCTGTATGTATTCTGCTCTCGCATTGTATTAGTGTCCCAGATTCTTCTGTCTTTGGACACATTTGCACAACTCCCACTAAAGTCAAAGGCACAATAATAACGTCACTTCTGTTACAGCACAGAAGCAACTCTAAGAACAACATGAGTTCTGAATACACTACACAGGAAAACAAAGAGCACTAGATTCCTAGTTTTATATGCATCCGAAGAAGTGGGCTATAGTCCACGAAAGCTTATGCTCTAATAAATTTGTTAGTCTCTAAGGTGCCACAAGTCCTCCTGTTCTTCTTTTTGTAGATTCCTAGTTGTGTCCTCACCAGAATTTCATTTGATAGTGTCCCTTTAAACTTTCCCTGTAACCTCCCTGGAAATACAAATTTTCAGTGTACTTTTAGCCAACATTTTTAGTCAACATTCATCACGTACCTAGTGCAGTCATTAAAAAGATCTTTGCAAGGGTTCTGCTCCAGTCTTGTTTTACATTCATTCACTGTATCCTGAGGTATTTCCGGTAAGTGGGCTGCAGACTTTACATGATACAAACCAAAAACAATAATGAAAACAATTAGTAATCTGACAAAGATAAAGAATCATAAAAATGTAGAGCTGTAAGAGACCCTCAAGAGGTCAACTAGTCCATCCACCTGCACCCAGGCAGGATCAAGTATATACAGACCATCCCTGAGAGGTCTTTGTCCAACCTGTTCTTAAAAATCTTCAGTGATGGGGATTCAACAATCTCCCTTGGTAACCTAGTCCAGTAGGTAATTAGCCTTTATAATGAGAAAGTTTTCCCTAATATCTCCTTTGCTGCAGATTAAGCCCATTACTTCTTGGCCTACCTCCAGTGGACATGGAAAACAATGGATCACCATCCTCTTTATAACAGGCCTTACAATATTTGAAGGCTTATCAGGTCCCCCCCTCCCCAGTCTTCTTTCCTTAAGACTAAAACATGCCCAGTTTTTTTAATCTTTCCTCATAGGTCTGTTTTTAATAATATCATTTTTGTTGCTCTGGCTTATCTCCAATTTGTCCACATCTTTCCTAAAGTGTGGGACCCAAAACTGGACACAGTACTCCAGCGAAGGTCTCACTAGTGCTGAGGACAGCCGGGACAGTTACCGCCCAGGTCTTACATATGACACTCCTATTAATACATGGTATTCGCTTTTTTTTCCCCCCGCAGCTGCATCACATTGTTGGCTCATGTTTTATTTGTGATACACTATACTCCCCAGATCTTTTTCAGTAGTACTACAGTAAAAGCTGTTTTATCCAGCATGTTGAGGAAATGGGGGGTTCCAGTAAGTGAAAAATGCCGGTTAACAAAGAGGGAGGGTGTTCGGGTGTGGGAGGAAGTTTGGGGCTGGAGCGCCCCCATTCTTTACAGTTCATCCTAATTGAGTGACCTCAGTTGGCTCTCCTAGGAATCCAGTCACACCGGTTTAGAGAGCTTTCTGGTTGGTGAAGTGTCGGATAAAACAACTTTTACTGTACTACCTAGCCAATTATTCCCCATTTTCTATTTGTGCATTTGATTTTTGTTTCCTAAGGCTATGTCTATTTACAACAGTGTATAGAGTACATACACTGCATGCCCTTGAGCACAGGTACAAATAGCAGTGTAGAAAGTGAGGCACTGCTTAGATGAGTTGAGTACAACATGATGTCAAAACAGTATGGTCTTTCAACCAGTTTTGCACCCACCTTATAGTTATTTCATCCAGACCTCATTTCCCAGTTTGCTTATGAGTATGTCATGTTGGACTGTGTCAAAGGCCTTACCAAAAATCAATATATATGTCAGGTTTGTTTGGCATGATTTGTTCTTGACAAATTCACGTTGGCTATTGCTTATTATCCTATTATCCTCTACGTGCCTACAAAATGATTGTTCAATAATTTGTTCAATTCCTGGAAAGATAGTGGAAGTTAAGTTGATTGGCCCATAATTCCCCAAGTTCTCTGGTTCCCTTTTTAAAGATATGTGCTTTTTTTTTGCCTTTCTCCAGTCCTCCGGACCTCAGCAATTCTCTTTGAGAACATGTGGAGGATGGGGAACAGTTACAAGACTGCTGCAGCTAGTTTCCTAAGTACCCTAGAGTGAATTTCATCATGCCCTGCCCACTTGACAACATCTAACTTATCTAAATATTCTTTAACTTTATCTTTCCCTAATCTGGCTGGGTTTCTTCCCCTTTGATGTTAATATTAATATTAATTGTGTTATGCATCTGGTCACAATTAACCTTTTAGTGAAGACTGAAGCAAAATAGGCATTAAACACCTCAGCCTTCTTGATATCATCTGTAGCTCTCCTTTTCTCCTAAGTAGAGAACCTACACTTTCCTTCATCTTTCTCCCACTCCTAATGTATTTAAAGAACCTCTTCTTATTGGCCTTTTATGTCCCTTGCCAGGCGCAACTCATTTTGTGCCTTGTTTTTCTGAATTTTGTATCTTCATGCTTGTGCTATTTTTTCTGTACTCTTTAGCAGTTCGCCCATATTTCTACTTTTGTAGGATCGTTTTTTACTTTCAGGTCATTAAAGAGCTCCTGATGCAGCCATATTGGCTTCTAACTATTCTTCCTATCTTTTCTTTGCATCAGGATAGATTGCAGTTCTTCCTTTAATATTCTGTCTTTGAGAAACTGCCAGTTTTCCTGATCTACTTTATCCCTTAGATTTTCTTCCCATGGGACCTTACCTACCAGTGCTCTGAGTTTGTTAAAGTATGTTTTCTGAAGTCCATTGTGCTTATTCTGCTGTTCTCACTCCTTCCTCTCCTTATAGTTCATTAAATCTATCATTTCATGATCATTTCCACCCAAATTGCCTTTCACCTTCAGATTCGCAACCAATTCTGCTCTCTTCATCAGAGGAAGTTTTCTAACTGGTTTAAAAACAAATAACTTCAGCTAAACACATTTTAAAACCAGTTAGGGACATGGTGGTTAGGTGGCTTAAGAGGCCTGATCAGTTTTCACTGGTTTAAAGACCATGCCAACTGTTAAATAAGCTTCCAGAGAAGAGGAGACTAATCCAGAGCCTGAGCATTTTTAGGACACCCGCAAGATCCATACCTTCCTCAAGATAAAGCTTCCTCAACATAACCAGAACAATTGGAGAGGATAGGGAGAAAAGAGGATGGAAGTTATATCCCTGACAGAACTTCCGATAGACAGAATAGGGAGAAGAAGAAAGACTCCTTGAATTCCACCAGGGACATCTCTAGGCATATTTAATTTACCAGGGCAGTAATCAGATATTAATAAACTTAGTAGGAGCTTTGGGTGCCCAGCATCTTCTGAAAAATCAACTCCTGTGTTTCTCAAGCTGGGCAGCCAAAACCTGAAACACTTTTGAAAATTTAGACCTAAGTTCTCAAGTCCACACAACATGTCAGCTGCAAAACCAGATCTAGTACTCAAGAGTTCCTTGCAATCCGATGATTCTCAGGTCTCTAAACCACACTACTTTAAAGTAATATGCTAAAACAGCAATTTAGCTACTTTTTGATGTTTAGATGTCAATGGGTTTTAGTCCAATCTCACAAAATTCTGCTTGCCCAGGACTAGTAATTAAAAAAAATTTTTTTACCATACATAGAGAAAAGTTAAATGTCATAGTGCTAATGAAAAAATAATGGTAGAGAGCAGTCAAGTTTTGTGCTTGAGTTAATGAAGTTTTGCAATAATCTTGAAAGGAAGGGCTAGTCCACATTCCAGAATGACTTGCAAAATTTTATTAGAGTTTCTCATTTTGAGAGCGATTTACTTCTTAATATTTTGAAAACTAAAATATCATCTGAAATTGTTGCAGTTTTGAGCTCTAATTTGGTCAGCTCTTACAATGCAGTCTGACAAAGTATTTTGCAACAGGATATATTTACCCAGTTAGTGAAGTATGTGTCTAAAACTTTCAGACCACAATCTTTACGCTTTTCATCTGAAGACACTTCATACTTGGCCTAGGGAAAAGGAATGAAAATTAAATTAGATCCATTGTTACCTCATATTGCAACAGTAACTGGGATGCCACGTGATTTCTATCACAAATATTGGGAGGCATCTCACCTATGGATTATAAACTGTTCTCATCTATGGCGTTCAAGAATTTAGGGATTTTTTTAAGATGCATACTGAAACAGATAATTATCCACACCATACTTAAAAAAAAAAAAAGTTAAGTATGCCAAAACTGTACCTTTCTTAAGACATATTGAAACTGGAGATTTGATTTGTAAAACCCCAGAAGCTATGCCTTAGAAGTATGCATAATTACACTGAAATTATATTTCACATAATAGGAAGCCTTACACAGCAGGATGATGTGCATAATCTTAGGCTGATTAGTCTGACATCACTCCTAGGCAAAATAATGGAAAAGCTGATATGAGATTCAATTAAGAAAGACTTAAAGGATGGGACTATAATCAACAGCAGTCAATACTGTTTTATGAATAATAGGTTTTCAACCTGATTTCACTTTCTGAGATTACAAATTTGGTTGATAAAAGATAACGCCATACATATAATAGACTATGTAAGACATTTGACTTAGTACAGCACAACAACATTCTGACTGAAAATTAGCACTATACAATATCAAACAAGCACATGTTAAATGGAATAAAAACTGGCTAAGTGATGGATCTAAAAAGGTAGTCGTCAACCTCATTGAATGGAGGTGTTTCTAGTGAGATTCTGCAAGATTGGTCTTAGGCCCAACATTTTTTATCAGCAATCAAGAAGCAAACATAAGAATCACTGCCAATAAAATGTGTGGTTGACACAAAGATTGGCGGAGTGGTAAGTATTAGCTAGAACAAGGTAATCATACAGAGTAATCAGGATTGCATGGTAAACTAGGTCCATTCAAACAAAGTGTATTTTAATACAGACAAATACAAGATCACACGTATAGGAACGGGAAAAAAAAGTAGGATATAACTACAGAATGGTTGACTCTATTCTGGAAAACAATAACTCTGATTATGGGTCACAATGGACAAGCAACTGAACATGAGCTCCCAGAGCGATGCTGTGGCAAAAAGAGCTAAGGCAATCCTTGGATGTATAAGCAGGAGAATAATAAGTAGGTATAGGGAGGTGACTTTACCTCTGTATACAGCACTGAGGACACAGATACTGGAATAATGTATGCAGGTCTGGTGTCCCCATTTTTAAAAGGATGGGGAAAAATTGGAGAGAGTGCAGAAAAGAGCCACAAAATTGATTCAAGGGCTAGAGAAAATGTCTTACACATTGAGAGATTTCAGCTCCCAATCTGTTTAGTTTATCAAAAAGAAGATGAGAAGTGACTTCATTACAATACCTTCATGGGGAGAAATTATCAGGTACTAAAGGAGTCTTTAATCTAGCAGAGAAAGACCTAACAAGAATCAGTAGCTGAAAGTTGATGCCAGATACTAGGCACGATTTTATAAAAAAAATGAGTATGATTACTCATTGGAACCAACTACCAAGGGAACTTGTAGATTCCCCTTCTTTTGATGTTTGCAAATCTAGACTGATATCTTTCTGGAAGGTATGCTTTAGTCAAACAAGTTACTGGAATAACTTGGAGAAATGTAATGGATTATGATATACAGAAGGCCAGACTAGAGGAGCTAATGGTCCTTTTTGACATTTAAACCCCTCCTCCCCCAAACTATGAATACAGAGCTTCATCAGTTCAAAGATAACTGTACAGTACAAACATAACTGTTATCACTCTCCTGTGAGACAAGAAGGTATTATCCCTGCCGTATACACAGACAGACTGCTCAAGATAAAAGTTAAAGGGACACACAACAGGAATCTTGTTAAACGGACTCATGATAGAGAAACAAGGTGAGTGAGGTAAAATCTTTTATTGGACCAACTTCTTGTCTCTCTCACCAACAAAAGTTGGTCCAAAAAAGATATTACCTGCCCCCCCTTGTCTCTTTAATATCTTGGGACCGATATGGCTACAACAATAGAGAATTCAGATTTCTGATACAGCACCCACTAAATAGTAGATCTTGAATTTAAAAACAAATTAATATCTAAATAAATGTCTTTGAAATAATTTTCTGCTCTCCTGTTGACATTTATGAGGGTCTAATTCAGCAAAAAAGAAACTGAGTGAATGAGTGAGGGAAACATCAAGACTACATATAAAACGCAATTAAAAGCACAAGTTAAAACATGGAAAGAGAAAAAATTGCTAACAATACAGTTACTGAAAGCTTAGGTGTTATTAATAACTACAGCAGGTACATTTTCAAACAAGTGTTATTTCATGTTCAGTGGTATCTCTAAGGGTCACATTTTCAAAGGGAGTTTGAATTGTGTGTACTTAACTTGAAATATCTAGGGAGCTCATTTTCAGAAGCCCTAATACCTATAACTTCAAATGAAGTCAATGTGTACAGGCGCTACACTTCTCTGGAATGAATAAATATCAGGCTCTTCAGTGTCTCAAGTTGAGCACCCAAATATAAAGACACCCAAAATTAGAAGCTATTTTTGAAATTTTGGTTCTAAATGACTTATCTAAAGTCACAGGCAGCGGCACAGCTAGGACTGGAAATCCAGACTCCCTGGAATTCAGTCCCATGATCAATCTAGTAAATTATCCTCAAGACATAGCTTTTCTGCTTGAACATTTTGATTTTGATCACTTCAAAAAAGTTCAACCATTAAACAATTAAGTCAGTACTTTTGCTATCATGAAATTAAAGTAATACCAATAGTGGAAATACAAATTCTGCAGCAATGATTGATTAACTGCAGCAACACATTAGGCATCTTAACATTTTTATATTATGCCAAAGAAGTTAGTCATCTAATATAAACTTTTAGCCTTATGGTTTTATTTCCACTAATCAGGAACAAGCATTTCATCTAATTTAGAGGAAGTTAAAGAACACTTGCTTCCATGTCATCTAATTTCAAATATTCTGCATAACAAAAAAATTGAGAAGGAAGTTTGAGTCACTACCTCAAAGTGCAGTTTCTTCACACTTTAGTAACCCCCACTCCAGATATTGGAATGTATTTATGGTAAGGTGAGGACTACTTTTGAGGTGACTAAAACCTATTCAATCATTTTCTCAACTCTTCCTTTTCTAAAGCCATACAACTGCCATAGGTGCTGGAACTACAGATGTGGGGGGTGCTGTAGCACCCCCTGGCTTGAAGTGGTTTCCATTATATGCAGGGTTTACAGTTTGGTTCAATGGCTCTCAGCATCTCCATTATAAAAATTGTTCCAGCACCCCTGCAACTGCCTGAAGATTTTTCAGACTATTATCCATCTTAAAACTAACAATACATAAACTATGTAGCATGGCTTAACTCTACCTTGAACTTGCCATTTCAGCCTCCCAACATATTTATGATGTAGAAATCAAGTTGTCCCTAGGATAATAACAGAAAATACACTAAATTGAGAGATGCATTAGGCTTGTAGAGGTTTTTTTTTTAAACTAGGGATCCTCCTTCCCTGACTCTATACTGTATTTCTGTGTCTCAAATATAGTTCCTGCCTGAATATGAGGAAAAATTTCAATCCTATGCTGGACAGCATATGCTGAAAAACTTCGAAACCGCTTGTGTTCCCAAGACTCTGTAATTCTGATATGCCAAAAGGAGAAAGTTTATAGAAAATTAGGTCATTATTTGACTACAAGAAAACTGGCTTGTCTACTTCACACCATTACTTTTGTCTGTTTTAAGAACTTGAGTTAGCTGTCTGAAGCTCAATCCAGAAAAGAAAGAGGGGATCCTGGTTGGTTGAGGACCTATCTGGAAGAGATGGCAGATATTATAACTGACCCCTTTAACTAAGAGGGTATGCCAGCCCTTAGACTGTAAGATTCACAACTTGGGGGTTATATTAGATCCTGAGATGCTTCTAGTTTTATCTGGCAACAGCAATTCTCACGAATGCTTCCTCTCCAAAACTTTTCAATTGGGGGGAAAAAAATGCAAACTCTCGCCTCAGATCTGGGGCTCACAACAGCTATTCATGCCTTTGTGAGATCCAGACTAATTTAATAGGAACAATATATACAAAGCTATACAAATATACTTTGAGCCCACTCAGAAGATACAGCTAGTGCTGAAAATGGCTGGTGTTTAATTAGCAGCATGGGTCTCACATGAAGGATGACATGTATGGCAGAGACAACATTGCCTTAGTGTTAGTTTCTAGGAATTGGTTTTGTTCCTGTTATCTTAGGTATAGTCTATACTACAAAGTTCGGTCAACATAAACTGCCTTGAATTGATGTGTCTACACTTAAAATTTGTCTCCCATCGATGTTACTATGTCTGTGTAATGGAGAACTTACACCACCTCCCCAAGTAGCATTGAGCCATGGTCAATATATTGAGGTCAACATAGCCCAAATGTAGACACTGCATTACCTATGTCAACCCTAGCAGTCCTCCTGCAGCTGTCCTACAACGCCTGACACTGACCACTCTAATCACAGTTGTGAACTCCACTGTGCAGGGGACACGGAGACTGGAAGCCCAACTCATCCTCTTTAAAAGCCTGCACATTTTTGAAATGCCCTTTCCGGATTGTCCATCTTGATTAACACAACTGGCAGCTCTCCATTGTTATGGGCAACTGCCCGGCTGACTATGCCAGCTACGAGCTCCAGATGCTCTCCAGCCTGGAGTAGATTGGAGATATTGGCTCTCGGCCTGTGGGGAGAAAAGACTGTTGCAAGCAGAGCTACGGACCAGACATATAAACATGTACAACTATGAGCAGATTGCACATGGGATGTAGGAGAAGGGGTATGACAGCAATCAGCAGCAGTGCCATGTGAAAGCAAAGGAACTATGGCAGGCATATCAGAAGGCCAGGGAGGCCAACAATTTATCTGGTGCCAAGCTGCAGACCTGCCACATTTACGAAGAACTGCATGCCATACTTAGAGACACCCCCCCACACCGCTCCACACACCACTGTGGATACCTCCGAGGAGTCTGAGTCACAGGCCCCTGGCATGAACAGCAAGGAGGAGATAAAGGAGGAGGATGTGGGACATGTGACCAAGGGGGGGTGAGGGGCCCGCTATGCCCCGATCCAAGACCTGTTTGAGACTCCACCACAGTCCTATCAGTCCCAGCAGTTGAACATGGGTGAGCCCAATGCAAGGGAAGAAACCTCAGGAAAACGTGTAAATTTATTTCCCATTAGTGATGGTGCCTCCCAATTTAGCAGGAAACAGCTATTGATTTTTTGTTAATTTACTCATACTAGAAGAGGTAGAGTAGCTATCTACTTTTCACTCCCTTGCAGAGTTAAGCAGAGGGGGCATGAGAAGCAGTTTCTTTATGTACACAGGGATGGCCCTTGAATCCTCCTGAGATATCTTGATGAAACTTTCATGGAGGTACACTGCAATCCTCTCCCAAAGATTTCTAGGGATGGCACCCTTCTTTCTTTCTCCTCAGGAGGACACTTTTCCGCACCAGTTGGAGAACTTCGGCAGGCACCATTACAATAAGTAGGTAACAGCATACAGGCCCCACGTGGCTCCAGGATGTCAGTAGCAGCTGTGTTCTCTGTGCCTTTGTTACCCTCAGGAGTGAGATATCAGCTAAAATTACCACTGCCTGTGTAAAATGGTGCCAGTTTTCAGTGCCATTGCCCTGTACTCATAGTTTCATGCAACTGAGCAATTCCCACCTCATTTCCCTCACCCGTGGCAGGCCATGCTCGCCATGGCTGGTGCTTTTAGTGGCACCATGAACAAGCACTCCAAAGTAGAAGTGTCAATAAGTATGTCTTGTTTAAACCTTTAGGGGAACAAGGGAAGGGAGTTCTGAAACTTTACTTTTGTTTTCTGTAGCAAACTATACTGACAATGATACCTCTCCGCGTTTTATCCTTAGCTACTGCCATTGCGGCCTTGAGGAGTTTCCCCTCCACACCTGTGGAATGCCTGAACCAGATAAGGAGAAGAAAGAAGAGGACTTGGGATGACATAGTTGGCGAGATTCTGCAAGTTAGTGATGCATCAGATCATGACCAGAGGGCCTGGAGGATAAATACTGCAGACTGTATGGAGGAGGAAAGAGTGGACAGGAGAAATCCCTAGGAGTACCAGCAGGAAAATGAGAGGGAGATGCATCAAGATACAATAGTCATGCATCCGAAGAAGTGGGCATTCACCCACGAAAGCTCATGCTCCTATACGTCTGTTAGTCTATAAGGTGCCACAGGACTCTTTGCTGCTTTTACAAGATATAATAGGCTTCTTTGGCTGAAAACACAGATGCTGCAGATTCTTGTGGATTTACTGAGTCAACAAATCATGGACTAGCTTTCCTTTGCAGTCCATGGAGAACTCCAGTAAAGCACCTCACTAGACCCTGCCTCAACCTTCCACGTGGGATCAGGGGCTACATTCCCACCCCGCCACTACACTCAGGAGGACATTAAGGACAACCACAGCTTTACATATACTGATGTGTGAGAGCCACAGCTTATGTATGTGTAGCTAAAATGGATATGAATGGTCCTTCCCTTCTTTAACCTCAGTTCCATACCTTTATTAAGGTTCTAAAGTATTTGCTTTTAACTTGCTCAGAATTTTTTTTTTGAAGTGTTTACGTTAGTCAATGAAACTCTATTGTTTGGGAAATAATTCATGTTTATTAGTTCCCAATATATGTTGCAGAATGTCTAGCAGTAGTGAACCCACTTACTTTCTTGCTACTGTACAATGTGACAACTCATAGGATCAGTGAAAAAACGTGTAATAGTCATAAATGTACTCCAAGCACCACAAAATTAATAGGTGCATTGTCAGTGTCATATTCTTAGATGTACTTCAAGCACCACACAATTCATAATGGGCGCCCGAACAGCAGGGCCATGTACAGCACAGTACACCACAACGCCTTACTGTAGCTCGCTGTTAAAGTGTTCTTTCAAAGCCTCCCTGAGCCATATAGCTCTGTGTTGAGCTTGTCTAATAGCCCTTATGTGCCTATTCAAACTCAGCAGACAGCCATTCCACCTCAACCCCATGGCAACTTTTCCCCCTTTGCTTCACAGACATTATATAGGACACAACAGGCAGCTATAACCATTGGGATATTTTTCTCAATCTGAGCCAACCTTGTGAGTAAATAACACCAGCACCCCTTTAATCTACCAAAAGCATGTTTAACGTTCTTCATCTGCTAAGCCAGCAGTTGAATATTTCCTTGGTGCTGTTGAGGTGCTGGTATACAACTTTGTGAGCCAGAGCAATAAGGGATAGGCTGGGTCCCCCAGGATCACGATTGGCTTTTGAACATCGCCAATGGTAATCTATTGGTCGGCAAAGAAAGTCCATGCTTATAGCTTTCTGAACTGGCCTGTGTTCTTAAAGATACAAACATCATGCACTTTGCTTGACCAGCCAACTTTGATGTTGATGAAGCCTCCCTAGTGATCTGCCAGTGCTCGCATAACCATAGAAAAGTAGCCCTTTTGTTGATGTACTCGGTGGCAAGGTGGGGGTCTGGTGCCAAAACAGGAATATGCTTCAGGCAGTTTGGGAATCCCATTGCTGCAAATCCATCCACTACATTGGCAAGAATCACCATCCTACATAGCAGGAGATGATTAATGGCCCTGCACACTTGCATCACAACGGTCCCCCACAGTGGATTTTCCAATTCCAAAATGACTTCCTACTGACCGGTAGCAACCTGGAATTGCAAGTTTCCACAGTGGAGAAGTAAACCGCAATAGCTTTGTCAGTGCAGCCCTCATTCTGGTGTTCCAGCTCTGGGGCAAACTTAGTATACAGATCCAGGACTGTGGGCTTGCGCATCCAAAAGTTCTGCAGCCACTGCTCATCATCCCAAACCTGCATTATGATACAATCTCACTGGTCAGTACTCATTTCTCAGGCTCCATCATTTACAGCTGCTCTGTGAATGCCTCCAACAATCTTGAATTGATTCTTGCTATGTCCCACAGCAATCTGCCCTTCAGGAAATCATCATGTTCCCTCATCTCTTCTTGCAGCTCTGCAAATACCAGAGTATTGTGTGTCCTGTGTTTGGAATGCTCATGGCAATAGTTCAGAGCTCTGCAGGCTTCATGTTTCTATCAGCTATGGTGGAGAGTCCCACATGGGTTCGAGGGATTTTCAAAATAGGCATGAAAATTATAGGATAGAGATGACATTATGCGGTGGAGAAAGTTGCATGATAGGAACTTGTCCTATGTGACTCATTTCTGCCCCATCATGCATTGCCAAAACGTCCTGAAAGACATTGTGTTGGAGAACGGTGAGCTGAACACTGAGCTACCTAGCCATCGTGCATTGCACTGTACATCAACACAATCACTCCTGGGGAGTACCTGCAGTACCAATGCAAGAAGCAAAGTACGCATGCGCACAAGCAATATACTAACTGTGGAAGCTTTATGTCAAGGTAACTTAGGTCAGCAAATATTTGTAGTGTAGACGTATCCTTAGGCCAGTGGTTCTTAACCTTTACTGCAGCCTGCAGCCCTTTGGTTCTCAAAATATGTTCTCGCACCCCTTAAACCTAAAAAATATCTTATAGCATCCCTTAAACCTAGATATATTTTTGTTTGTATATTACAGTAATCGTTAAGAAATGTATAATGTTAATAAATACATAGGCTTGATGAAACAAAATAGTTGTACTTATGTGCCTGTGCTTAATTTGTGTTTTCGATGACTTACCGTCTAAAAAAATCTGGCATGTCTCGCACCCCCAGAAAGGGCATCATGCACCCCAGGTTAAGAACCACTGCCTTAGGCTATGTCTACACACACAGCTGTACAATTGTAGTGCTACACTGTAGACACGACAGCAACCTCCCTCTCTTCCATCGACCTAGCACTGTCTATGCTGGGGATTAAGTCAGCAAAAATATGTCTCTCAGAGGTGTGGACTTTTCACACTCCTTAGAGAAGCATGTGTCAAGGTAAGTTTTCAGTGTAGACCAGCTCTTAGAGAGCACCTAACTAAACTGATATATCAAGTGAGATACTGAAACTTAGAACTGTACATAAGCAGGAAGAGCATTTTCAGTGAACTAAGGTTTCCCCCAATGGAGCCCAAAATTATTGACCTCTAAGGCACACTACAAGACGTACAAATTTACTCCAGATTTTGTCAGAAGTTGTAGACATTAAGGGCATTGAATTTCTTTTGCTGAGCTCTTTAGTTGACACTGAATCAGTTTTGCTACATTTTAACAGTTGTGGTATTAGTATGCATTTGGAGCTAGAGAATGTGGCAGGCACATTTTATAAAACTTAAAAATAGGCTACTTGCGCCAGTTCCTAATTCTTCAGAAGAATAAGGCTGGGGACCTTCTAGGTGGAGTCTACTGCTTACCACTGCATCCAGGAATTCAATGCATGTCTTCAAATCTGGCCTAGTGTCACAGAACTGTCTGAAGAGAAGTCTCCCTATTGGCTGCTTGTCACAGAGCTGGTTATAGTTTTTTTCTGGGTAAAAGAAGAGATTAAACAAATGACATCATTACAAGCCAGAGTGCTGTTCTTCGCACCCCTTACCTATCCCAATTTGAGACTGCAACAGATAAAGCATCATTTAGAGCAGGGGTTCTCAAACTGGGGGTCGGGACCCCTTAGGGGGTCAATGAGGTTATTACCTGGGGGGGTCACGAGGTGTCAACGTCCACCCCAAACCCTGCTTTGCCTCCAGCATTTATAATGGTGTTAAATAAATATATAAAAATGTGTTTTTAACTTATAAGGGGGTAGGGGGTAGCACTCAGAACCTTGCTATGTAAAAAGGGTCACCAGTACAAAAGTTTGAGAAACACCGATTCAGAGCATTTATATTGCAGATTCCCATTCAGATAGGACCACCAAGATTTCATGTAATCAGTAACATGTCAAAAGGAGCAGGGCAAAACCAGCTGTAAAGGTTACAAAGGAAAGTGACAGAGACTTGCTTACTACCACTGCTGCCTCCAACATCCCACCATACACACACACAAAATAGTGTAAAACTTTTATATTAAATTAGCTGCTAATTGCTAATAAATTAAGGAAAAACACTTGACAAGGTCCTGTATATTACATAGTGAAGTGCCAGCCCCAATGCAAACAAAAACAAGCTGATTCTGTAGACCTTACTCACATGAAGAGTCTCATTACCATAAACAGGACTATTCATGTGACCAAGTACTGTGGATCAGCTTCCCTATTTGAATTCCACTATAATCATTTGACCAAAATATCTGTGGTCCATATATTCAACATCAGATAGGGTTAGTAATACATCAATTATTTGTATTATTGTAGCAGCTAGAAACCCTAGCCATGGACCAGGGCCCCATTGTGCAAGGTGCTGTACAATCAGTGAACAGAAAGACTCTCTATCAAAACAGACTTACACTCTAAGTAATGCTTGGAGGAAAGTGTAAAAATCTCCATAACGAACTATTATGCAATAACAAGTTAATCAGAAAGCTTCTTCCTAAACCAAGCAGTTGGCCAACATCCTGGAACAAATACGAAATCAACATCTCTACCCTTCCTTCAGACAGTATGCACATTAATGATGCACATTAAGGGAAAGGGTGTGTTTTTTTAAATAGGTGTGTCCAAGGACAACTGGATCTTGAATTTGGGAGCCTGGGATGTTTTTCTGGTGAGCAAGGGAATAAAGGCCAAAGAGAGAAAAGGGGGGCAGGGAGGACGAGAGAGAGAGAGAGAGAGAGCGTGCGAGCAAAAGCGGAACAAGAGAAAAAAAAATGTGGATTACGGTATTAAACAGTATAGTCAAATTTGGGGGGCGGGGAAATAAAGCTGATAGTTCCTGTTTGTCTTACAGATGCCAAAGCTGATTAAGAAGTTTTATCTTGGTAGTTTTATTTGCAACATCTGTGTCCAAAGTAAGAATTAATGCACTTTCATGGTAGCTTGGTGCTTACGCAGAAGCTTTCTGGTTCAAAAGGTTTCCCACTGAAGGGGTTTCCGTTTTGATTTCAGTTCTTCAGAGCTAATTTAAAGAGGCTTTAAAAAACAAAGAAAAGGGTTATCCAATTTGAGGCAATTATAGGTCATTGCTTCAGAAAGGCATGTTGTCACAGTCACAGCAGTATACCCAGATTTCCTTGAACAGGCCACTCTAACATTGTTGCTAGTAACTCGTTAGCATCTGCAATTTTAACAGTCTGATGAGGATGCTTAGTTTTTGAGACCCAAACCAGAACATAATGATGTCTTTAAATCACAAATTAATGAGATTTCAGGAGCAGTTTTCTTGGACACAATCAACAGTAGCTGTAATGATTGCTTTCCCCTCAGGAATTCTCAATTAAATTAGAGGACGTGAGGTAGGATTACAAACTAGCAAACTATCTAGTCAGAAGCAAGAAGAAATACCTTCATTGGATAATGGCAACTCCCAAAAGAAATTAGACTTGCGTATTATACACACACACCTACCGATTGAACGTCTAAGGTCTTCACAATAACTGAGAGGTGGTAACTTTAGCATCTCCTTCCATTTCTTACTGCGTCCATTCCGTCTGCCACACCCTCCTAAAAGGAAAACAAAGCCCTATGTAAACAAGAGTAGTCTACAAGTCAATCCAATGCTACAATATGCTCTCTCTCCTCTGTAGAGCATATATTGTAGCCTTGGGTCATTCTCATTTCTACAGAGAGGTGCCAGATATTTTGCAAGTGGACTGGACTATTTTTTCCTGCAAGCAAGGGAATCTAAACAAGCAAATGTGAGTCTCATAACAATTCCCTCATTGTCTTTAATATCTCGTGTGTATTCCAATTTTCTACCATGGGCAAAAATGTTTAGCATCCAGGCACTTTCCATGCAGATCATCCTCCTTCCGAACCCATAATTCAAATTAACTCTTAAAGTTAGACATAGGATTGTGACCCATCCACAAGATCAGAAAAACTTCCATCTATCCAGATGTGCACATTTTATAAGAAATGTCACAGCTTTGGAGAATCTGAAAATATCTAGATATATCCAAGCAGGTTTAGGATAGGCCAGAAGTCTATAGTGAATTTCCTTCCTTTATTAGCATTACAATATCAATATCATATTAACAAGTGTGTTTCTATCATTAATCTTTACAGAAAATAAATACAATCCCACATGTATATTGTGATGCCATACAGAGTTCAATCAATATCTTGAAGGTTCAATTTCAAAGGGTTCTCAAATGCATCTGGCTCCCTTTACCTCAAATGGTTTTTCTTTTAAAAAAGGAAGCGAAAAAGTGACAGAACAAGGAAACAATGCAAGACTGAAGTCAAGAAATCATGACCATTAAAGTTAAGGAATTAAGCACTTAAAACTCAGGTTTTACTGCAATGTTAAAAAAACAAATTGTACATAAATAGCCTTTTCTATTCTATTTTCCGTGTAAGAATAAGCATTAATACTACCACTATTATGACTGCACGTAGGGGCCCAAGACATGGACCAGAACCTCGCTGGCCACTGTACAAATACATACTGTATGTTTTATGGTACAGACTATATAATATACAGGGTAATCAACATGACAGAATTAATCACTGTAGAAACTGAACCTTTTGAAGGCGATCAACTTTGATGTTATATCAAGAGTAGTTTTTCACATTTCATAAATACAATCAGGATTTCTTTATTAATTATCTCATGAAGGTATATTTAATTCATTTATTGTAAGATGAAGGTAACAATATAAGAGACTTTAACCTCTCTACTCTTATCAGACCTTAAGATCACTATTTTCTTAACACAGTGAAGATGTGTATATGTATACATTTTGTGGAGAGGCTAAGTGATCAATAGATATGATCATTTTAAAAAAGATTGTTATGAAATGTATCAGTCTAAGCATATCAAAATATTTCACATTTATATAAACTTCATGCTTCACACAGGTTTTTAAAAGCATTTAATTTTACATACTGAACCAATACAAATGTGTATCCGCATGATAGAGCAGAAGCAGACAGTGAGACATTTTCGAAGCCCTACTCTTTAGCAATGAAAATATCACAAGATATTGTTAACCACACTTGGGAGGGGACAGGAAGGGTAGCTGTGCACAACACAGTTACAGGATGCATTAGATTTACCTCACTGTTCTGTTTTTCTCTAGCTCTACCCAGCCTCTAAATTCACTACAAAAAGGTGCAATATTACAATATCTTCACAACCAACCATCCCAGTTTAGGAGGATATCTTCAATGCTCCAGTAAAAAAAGTTTAACATGTCTGTCTGTCTGTGTAGTCTGATCTTTCAAAGAGACCCATCTCTGGTGGGAGAAGTGGGGGGCCTGTGAATCCAGGAGAGGTAAACTTTGAAGAAAAAAAAATGCCAAATCGGGCAAGACTATGTACGGTAACACGTCTAGGAACCCTAACAGGCATGCATGCACTAGGTTCCCAAATGCCCCATTGTCTTGGGTCCTGCTGAACTAGTTCTCTGTTGGTATTCTATTGTTACTTTTCTAAAGTGGGGCTGACAAGACAAAGACACGGCAATTGCAGCTTTGAACAGGCAATGTTGTATAAGGTATCAAACAACCCAGTTAGTGTGTTTGATGACACACTATAGCAGATGGGAAGGAGACATGCTTTGTGACTGCAACATTTTGTTGCAAAAAAACTTCTGATCTAGGTCGTATGCTAAATAAACCCGCTTCTAAAGACACAGAAAAAGTAAGAAACACCAATAAGACCAGTGCACTGATCACCGTAGTTCAGGCCTCAATACTAGTAAATAATCAAGAATGCCTGCTGGTACTTTGCCCCAAATATTGTGAGAAATTTATAAGTCCTTTGTTCCTCAGTTTACAAAAAAGGGAATTTTTGAAAATCAATTTTATATAAGAGGATGAATATGACTGGATTGTGAACATCTTGTTCACGATATACTACAGTCAACAGCTTATTTGATTCACTGCAACCAGCCTGGTTCTTTCTATGTGCTCTGGTTCCTATTATAATATGCAAATATTATACAATATATAAATATATACAATATGCATGCAAAGAACAAATCAGGGGACTGGACTCGATGACCTCTCGAGGTCCCTTCCAGTCCTAGAATCTATGAATCTATGAATATTGAGAAGACTGAATGCATCATTAGAGGATCCAGCAAGGTTTTTTGGTTTTGTTTTTTTAAAAACCAGACTCTTAAATACACTGTTTCTGTTAAAAATTGTGCAGGAGGGCAATTTGCTTTTCAGCTAAAGACTCATCTTATTGTGCATCTTGTTACAGTTCTGTAGCGATTCAAAACCTGCTATAACTGAGGCTGTAACGATTATGCTCTGTGACAATATCTATTGATTCCAGAGCTCCGGCCCTGAAATCTCACTGCTTCAGATACCTTCTTATAGAAAGACCAGTGCTGTGCTTCGCCAAACAGAAATGAAGAAACTGACAGGTTGTGAACTCTCTGCTTTATGCCTGAGCAACAGGCTTCAAATGTAAGAGAGTCCTAGTTAAACATAACACATGAAGGTAAGCAACTGAATACTGACAAAATGTAGAAGTACTTATATACAAAGTCTAAATACTAAGATGGGCAAACTAGAATGCCTGGCATTAAATGAGAATATTGATATAATAGGCATTAAGGAAACTTGGTGGAATGAGGATAATTAATGGTGCATGGTAATACCAGGATACAAAATACACAGGAATGACAGCGTGACACCATATGTGAAAGAAAGCCAAATAAGTCAAATAAGTAAAACATCTTCAGTGAATCCAACAGTACCATAGAATTTCTATAGATAGAAATTCCATGCTTGAACAATAAGAGTATAGCAGTAGGAATATACTACTGAAGACCTGACCAGTATGGTGACAGAGACTGTGAAATGCTCAAGATTATTTTTGCATTTTCTGCCTTTGTAGCCATTCTAATGGAGGATTTCAAAATAACCCCATATTGACTGAGTATGTGTCATCTAAGGATGGAATGCAGAAATAAAGTTTCTAGACACCATAAGTGACAGCTCCTTGGACCAGCTTTGCCTGCAACCCACAAGGAGAGAGGCCATTCTTGATCTAGTCCTAAGTGTAGCACAGGATCTGGTACAAGAGGTGACTATGATCGCTACTACCGAGCAGTTCACCTATAATGTAATTTAATTTAACATATTTGTAGGGGCAAAAAATGCCAAAGAAGCCCAGCAAAGTAGCATTTAACTTCAAAAAGGGAAGCTACACAAATATGAGGAAGCTAGTTAAATGGAAATGAAAAGGAACAGTCACAAGGATGAAATGCCTGCAAACAGTATGGAGACGATTTAAAAATACTTTAGAGACTCAAATAAAATGAAACTGCATTGATCTTCATGAAGGAGGATATGAGGGAGATTCCCAAACCTGAGCCATTCTTTTTAGCTGGCAAATCTGAGGAACTGTCCCAGATTGAAGTGTCATTAGAGGAGGTTTTGGAACAAATTGATAAACTAAACAGTAATAAGTCACCATGACCAGATGGTATTCACCCAAGAGTTCTGAAGGAACTCAAATGTGAAACTGAAGAACTACTAACTGTAGTCTGTAACCCATCATTTAAATCAGCTTCTGCACCAAAATGAGTGGAGGATAGCTAATGTGACGCCATTTTTTTAAAAGGACTCCAGAGGTGATCCCGGCAATTACAGGCCGGTAAGCCTGACTTCGGGATTGGGCAAACTGGTTGAAACTATAGTAAAGAACAGAATTGTCAGACACATAGATGAAAATAATTTGTTGGGGAAGAGTCAACATGGTTTTTGTAAAGGGAAATCATGCCTCACCAATCTACTAGAGTTCTTTGAGGAGGTCGGTCAACAAGCATGTGGACAAGGGTCGTCCAGTGGCTACAGTGTACTTAGATTTTCAGAAAGCCTGACAAGGTTCCTCACCAAAGGCTCTTAAGCAAAGTAAGCTGTCATGGGTTAAGAGGGAAGGTCCTCGCATGGATTGGTAACTGGTTAAAAGATAGGAAACAAAGGGTAGGAATAAATGGTCAGTTTTCAGAATGGAGAGAGGCAAATAGTGGTGTCCCCTTAGGCTCTGTACTGGGACCAGTCTTATTTAACATATTCATAAATGATCTGGAAAAAGGGGTAAACAGTGAGGTGGCAAAATTTGCAGATGATACAAAACTACTCAAGATAGTTAAGTCCCAGGCAGACTGCGAAGAGCTACAAAAGGATCTCTCAAAGCTAAGTGACTGGGCAACAAAATGGCAGATGAAATTAAATGTTGATAAATGCAAAGTAATGCACATTGGAAAACAAAATCCCAACTATACCTATGAAATGGGGTCTAAATTAGCTGTTACCACTCAAGAAAGAGATCTTGGAGTCATTGTGGATAGTTCTCTGAAAACATCCACTCAATGTGCAGCAGCAATCAAAAAAGCAAACAGAATGTTGGGAATCATTAGGAAAGGGATAGATAAGACAGAAAATATCATGCTGCCTCTATATAAATCCATGGTATGCCAATAACGTGCAGATGTGGTTGCCTCATCTCAAAAATATATATATTGGAATTGGAAAAGGTT